TTAACTTTGATCAAGTATAATTATAGTTAACTATCTTTTCTTATCTATTATCTTAAATAAAAGTGCGCACAATCTGACTTCTACTAATTCCTTCTATTCAAAACTAGGACATTGAAATATTCCCCACTGAGGGACAGATAGAGGTTTGTCTTTTTTTAGTATTTTTGTTGTATCTGCTTTTATTTGAAATTAATACATTTTGTGATTTAAAGTAAAAAAATGAATGAATAAATAAATAAAACATATAGAGCCAAAACCAGGGAAATTTCACCTAATAAACTGTCATCCCCAATAAGACTCATTCTGCTCTCTGATTGAATAATCTGCTTGTAAATCATAAATATTGCGGACACCATGTCTATTTTATGTGTAATCAAAGATAAAAATCTGCTCAGAGTTTTACAGGTCAACGTATTATCTGGGAACAAATAAAATAATGTAGATATTTTAATGTAAATACTGCATTCGGTCCCTTATACAGTATGACGTCGTGGTCATGAAACATACATTTTTCTCCCATGATGCATCCCTAAAGTGAACTTTTTCCACCAATGCAAACCTCCTGCCTGTGAATAATCCGGGCTCTTTCCTTGTCTCAAACAGAAGCCTCTGATGGTAGCGTTGCGCCATTCCACACAAATTGAATCGGTGCATTCTGTTTTGCCGTCACAGGAGAGCGGCTTCCCATTTTCCGCTCCCGCCGTCGAGTTGAGCTCAGCCGCATAAGTTTGCAGCTCCCCATGTGAGGGGAACAGGAAATGGCTGCTGACGGCATAATGGGGGCATGAGGACACGGCATAAATCCTTAATCTTGCCTAAACGATGAGGTGGAACACTCCGATCGTCCAAATGGAGCCAGTGCGGACGCAATGTTTACACTTTTGTTTTTCAGATGCTACTTTTGTCATTTGGAGTTTGGAAAGTGTATATACTGGGGTGTTGGCAATATTTAATCTCTACAGGTGCAACTCGGAAAAGAAAAGATTTACTTCAGTATTTCAACTTGCCAGATTCTTGATGTTGATAATTGACTTCCTTGTTTAGATCAGCTTTTTCAAACAGAAAGTGGAAAAAAAACAGGCCCACCCTCACTCAGAACTGCCAATCAGTTCTCAGCCCAAAGTGTCAAATAGTGACTCACAGGGATCTTTTTTACAAGCAGGCAAAATATGACATGTAAGATTTAAACCATATTTTGTAAGCCTGGGTTGCTTCTTGAGTTTTAGAAGATAAGCCAAGTCAAGTCAAATTATCTACCGATGAAATGAGATCGTACAACTGAACTCAACCAATATCTGGTTCTCATCAATAATAGTTAGTTGTTGTTTGACTTAATCAAATCCTAACATTGTATTTTTTGTTCTTGCTGACAGAATATCTTGTTCTTTTGGTAGATAATTCTAGTTGACGAATCAAATCCTTTCAAATCATCTTTAAATCATGGTCAATTTCACATTCTATCTATTGTAAGGGCCCTTGCCTGGTTTGCCTGACGTTTTGGATAAAATATACTTTATTGATCTCACAATGGAGAAATTTCCAATGTCACATTTGGCATAGATATAATCCCTCAGGAAGTGTGCAAATATGTTCAAAAGACTACAAAAATAACTGGATATTATATTGATTATTATTGTAAACTTTCAAAGATTAGTCCTCTCGCCAAGCACTTATAGAGATATTTTGTCTAATACTTTCACAGTAACTAATACACCTGAGCGCCGGACAATAATTACCTTGCCTAAAGACACATTTTACAGCGCAGAGGAACATATCAAATTGCTAGAATCTGATTTAACATCACATTGATTCTATTCCTCCATTTCCCAATCCCCCACAGTCGTTTTCAATTACGAGGCAAATCAGGACGACCTTAATTCAAAGACACGGGCTGCAGATGAGGCGGGTCACCTCGTACAGTAGTTAATCGAAACAGCCCACGCTCCAACAATGAGATGCAGAGGAAAAAAACTTGTACTCCTGAGTTACCGGGAGAAGAGAGCGTATACGACTGGAAACATCATTGCATTTGGCTTTGTGCGCTTCTCATGCAAATTGCGACGCTGAGCCCTAAAAGTTCATTACTAGTGACACTTTTTATCAGGTCTGGAGCTCATGGAATACTAATATTACTCCAAACGCCGGAATGGTAGCCGCCGCTTCAGTTTGCTCAACGAATTGCAATTACTACAACGTTCTTTTTCCTTCATGGAAGCAGGCGTGGCCCCCTGTAGGGAACGTCCCGCAGCAGATGCCGTACAGTCGATTCCACAGCCCATTGGAGCCCAAATGAACTAAATGAACAGTCGCTTTATATGTATTAGACCTGCTGCTGTATTTTGCTTATTTATTTAGCTGTTTGATAGCACTCAACTCCACTCAAATGTCACTATAGGGGGTAAAACTATTTATTTTTTTACTGCAAGGCTGATGCAGTTTCTTCAAAGAACTGCTTAGCTCAGATGCAACAGTGAAGTTTTTCTTTCAAGTAAGAAAGCAATGTTTGTAAAAAAGAAGTGCTTTGGCCTGCTTTATGGTGAGAATCTGACACTGATGGGTTATTGTTACCCGGCCGAGGGGTGAGGTGAGTGCCTGTGTGTGTGCGTGTGCGTGTTTCTGTTTGTTGGCACAATTCTGCTGGACGGATTGAGAAATTGAATTGAAAGAGGTGTGTAGATAACATGTGACGATGCATGTCCATAGCGTGTTTTGTCCTCTCCCGGTGCATTTCATAGTTATGTATGTATCACATTGAAAATATCGATTTGTGAAAGTTATGAAAAAGAGAAGTCTGTACACTTCTGTATTCGGTCCTGCCATAGTGCTCTGTCCTCTTCCCCTGTACACAACGTCAACGTCAACAAATTCATATCAAAGGAATAGATAGGCTCCACTCGGGCTACAGATGAAGACAGCGATCAGCGATTATCTTGGAGATTGCATATGGTCATTATATTTTGAATTTTTTTTATTAATGAGTTATAGAGAGAGTGTGTGTGGATTTTCACATTGGTCAAAAATAGTCAAATACTGGGACAAATAAAGGTTTTTTTGTTCTTTTGGTTCCTATTAATAATACAATCCTAAATCTTCGATCCTGTTACTTTCTGGACGCCAAACGGTACAAACGTTTTTCTCATAGCCCTGTCTTTTATAATTCAGGCCTCGGCTGTCCACTACGATCAGCAAGAACTCAACTTCCTTATGTTGGTGCGAGAGGGGAGCGAGCAGAGGGTGCCAAATGGAAATGGAAATAAACATGCTAATGCTATAGTATGCATGCCCAGGAGGTAGAGATGCTGCAAGCCTCCCATTGGCAACCAGAATGTGTGTGTGTGTATGTTTGTGTGTGTGTGTGTGTGTGTGTGTAAGAGAGACAGGAAAAGCTGCAAGCAAACGTGCCACCTTTCGCTTTCAATCGGCCTCTGGAGACGGTGCAAAGGTTCTTTTGTTGGCTCATTGGCAAGATAAGAAGTGTGTACAGGGAGGAGGATGAGGGGAGAGCTTCACAGAGTCGTCGAGCCAGCTTTCCCCCCCCCCTCTACTACAGGACGGAAGCACCCCTCTCAAAAGGACCTCATTTGCCATGTTGTGTAATTGTGGCAAAGAATGGAACACACCCCATTCAGGCCGCCCAAGGCTTTCTCAAAAAAAAAAAATTTCTCAATTCAAAACCAAACAAGTCGTGTTTTAGAGAGATATTAGGCTTCCTTTGACTCAGGGCCACGACATATTTGCCTTTGAATAGAATGTTGTGTGCAATCAAGATTTTTTTGTTGTTGCTTCCTGCTCATTATAAAGAAGCCCCCGTCAACAGACTTGATATTTGTCGTTTGACTTTTGTTCTGGCTGCTCTCGAAAGGTAAACAAAGCGCCTGACCTTTACCGCCCGGGCTGTGATTCGTTTGTGTGAAGAAGTGCTGCGCATTAACCCGAGCTAACGGAAAGTGTCAGTGAAAAGGCTCCGAGCTCAGCGCCGGCCGTCATTAACATGTACGAGTTAATCATTAGAATTATTCTCATGTTACACGGTCGCTTGAATATCACCACTCGAGTACAAGAGATGAAAAATGACTGATTTGGAAATTATTGCTGAGCTGTTCCATTAAACTACCACAGGCTAGAAATGGATGGCTATTTGCATAATTTAACTGGCATCTTAATTATTGTGTCAGGAATCTGTATGCAAATGACTTAAGTCACTTATGAGACAGGAAACTTACTTGGCTAAATGGCTAATAGGCTAAATCGTATCAAGTTAGAAAATAAAACGTGAGTGTAACCATAGTCATTTGATCTCTCTGTCTTCCGCCTGGCTGTTGCACTCATTGGCTGATCAAGAAAATCATCTCAGCTCATTCAATCGCTCACAACATCTACGTTACTAATATCCTTGCAGCCTTTCCTCTGGACATTTAAACACCATGCCCTGTCTAATTCCACACCTCTCAAACTGGTCTTTTTGACATTATTTCCAACAAATTTCCCAATATAATTTCATCATTCCTACTGTTTTTAGCAAAGACATGGGTCAACATCTCGAGCATGGTCTGAGTTAGATGGGGGTCAATAATTTAACAAGAGTAACTGTCAGTGAGGACGTTCACAAAGCACTAGTCCAATTTGTTTTGCTGGATTAACAAACGATTGTGTGCATATGTGAAAAACCAGACCATTTGGTGCAACTGAATTCAACCATTTCTACTCTGTTTACACTGGCATATAACCACGTACTACTGAGACAAGGCCAAAAGAGGCATTTAAGAGTCCAGGGAAAAGCCATTAGTTACACTCAATCCCTTGTCGCAGATTTTTCCCTACGTAAACCTATAGTATACATAAAAGAAACGTGTTTTTACACTGTGGAAATTCAATGACTTTGCCAATATTGTACTTTTTGGCAAGTACAATATTGGCGTGAAATGCAGACTTACCTGGACGAGCTGAGAGGAAGAGGATGTGTTATTAGGAAAGCGTTTCTGTAGTGGGAAAAGACCTACCACGTAAAACAGTGAGCCTGGTGGTAGCGCTGATCTCTCCAACAGTATTGGAGGCAACGCATTCATATATGGCTTCGTCTCGAGGCGTGCGCAATGGTTGAATTCTTAGCACTGAACCAGAGCCGTCGTCGAACTCTATCACCTGCAGGTGCGAGAAACAGGATATGTTACAGGAGATTTTTTGTTCGTTATACTGAGAGGGCCCTTGACAGGAAACCAATCAGTAGAGCAAAAAATATGAATATCTGACTTTGTAAAAGACATTTGCTGATGGTGACTGACACAATGAGCTTCCTATGACGAAAAAAGCGGATTTTTTGTGTGACTGTTGTGCTTGTACCATAATTTGCATAGTGCTGAAGTGATAGTGATGCTATATTCTCTATTCGTATGAAAGTGACAAGATGTTACTCCTACTTAGTATTTATTGCACAGACATTAGCTTTTTTAGTTTGTGTTGAACTGACGTAACTGGGTCATAGCAATTATGCATCTGCAAACTTTAAGAATGGGGAAGCGTACACTGGCCGAAAAAGGATGTACTGGAGACAAGAGTAGGATCATTTTAATTTTTGCCCCATTCTTAAAGTTAGGAATTTCTCATTTTAAAGCATCACACTGGATAAATGGGACAGAAACAAGCACGAACAGCTACAGGTGGCCTGGTAAAATGTTACGGACATTGTACCATGAAGTGAGGTAGTGGTACAGACAGGACCAACTGTATTGGACGGACGACACATAAAATGCTCACAAACAAGTGTTTGTTATAGCTTTTTCAGCGTTTCTTGCATGCTACAGTTTTGGTATACTCACTGCTCTTAGAAAGCCCTGTGTCATAATCAATGTCTTTTAAGCATAGAGGTAGATTTCAACAGATTCGGCCTGAGCCTCCCATGCACACACCATCATACACGCACACACACACACACACCCATACTACAAAGTCTACAAACAGCTTATATTCCACAGTATTCATGAAAAGCATTACTTAGCTGGTTATCTGAAAGAAGCGGGCTAGCAGTGCAAAAGCTGATAGCAGGTGAGTGTGGGGATGACAGCTTTTTGAAACTAAATAAAAAGCTCAATGAATTAAAAGTTGTGGTGGAAATGTGTCGGATCATGATGAGCATTGCCTGATGAGAATGAGCATGAAATGAGGGCAGCTAGCAAGCCCTGCAAGGCAAACTGGGAAGTATTTGCTTTAGCATTCAATATGAGTGGTCGAAAATGCAGTGAACTCTGATAAGATTTTTGTGGCATGGGATGTAAAAACTCAACTGCCTTTGCTGCTATGTCGGGAGCAGAAATGGCAGTGAGGCTGGAACGTGATGCTGCAATGGTTCCCAGGACTGACACAGAAATTAATAGAAATCTTATCAGTGTTCTGCCATGATTTGTTATTTCTCATGGGTATGGAGCAGTGCCTCAGCCCGTATGGGAAGAGTTGGACATGCATTAAGATAAAATGCCACAAAGCAATAGGCTTTCTGGAGTGAACAAGTTATTTCTCTCGTCACTTGTTTAAGACAGGACATTTCTATGATTCTAATGAAACTGTGTCACATGTTTACCTGAGTTCAATTGATATTTTAATTAGTTTTTATGTTATTACCCAATGTACTTAAATCCATGTGTGTCTGTCTGTAGGCAGGGTTGTGTAAAAACTACTGGATGGATTGATTTTTGGGTTGTGTTTTGGTATGATCCATGGCCTTGGCAGCATCTTAAGAGTGTCTATTCTACAAATATGCAAAAAAAAGTTCAACAGTTATGGCAATTGAAGTATTTTGTATGCATTGACTAGTGTATGTACCCAAGAACCCAAAAAAGCCAATATGCTGCATTGCCAAATTTGGTCATCGAATGCAGGTTTCCAAATAAAACACATATATCAAACAAATATTTTTACATCTGGGTTCTACGAACTTAAATCAGACATCTATGATCTTGCGTAAACATGTTTATAAAACCTCATTCACGTTTATGTAGCTAGCCAGTGAGACTGTTGGAGGCTGCTAATGCGTGGTGGCAAGTCAGCGGCTTGGATTATGTGCGAGCGGAGCCAAAAGCCGTGCTGAAGCATTCTCTTTGTCGAGCATTTTACATCAGAACAATAGACCTAATACCTCGAATCTCTGGTTGCTGACTTTCTTCCCCTTCTTGTTCCACACAATCTTTGGCCGAGGATCTCCAGTTGCCTGGCAAATGAAAGAGGCCACACCTCCTTGCACGCCTGTTTGGTCATTGGGGGTTCTTAAAAACTTTGGTGGTGCTGCAAAGACAGAGAAAAAGAAGAGAACAGACCAATTAATCTTTTATCCACACAGTAGAAAAGAACAAAGTAAAGGGTTGTCTGTGGAGGTCAGGACATGAGGTTGTGTTTGAGTGGAGTTGGATGAAGAGATGGAATTGCATTTTGAATGGTTGCGTTAATTTCTTTTTTAATAAGTAAGTAATGTTTATTTATTTATTTATTTACAGACCAAGGCCAACCAAAGCACTTTATAATGTTCAGAGTTCAGATATTTTTCGGTGATGACGAAAGCGAGATCAATCAATCAATCAACTTTTTTTGTAGAGCGCCTTTCATACACAAGGCACATAAACATTAGAGATAATAAAATCATTAAAGATAATTAAAATCCTAAAGGGCATTAAAAACACACAATGAGATCACACGGAAATTTAAAAACATCAAAAATAAAATAGCACAAGTAATTAAAAACATTAAAATCACACATGGGATTATAATCATAAATAGCCATAATGCATCTAAAAAATAAAATCAATCAGTTGTATGCACAGCTAAACAGAACCGTTTTTAACCTAGACTTAAAGATTGCCACAGAAGTCGCCCGTCTCACATTTTCAGGAAGACTGTTCCAAATCCTAGCCGCAATGAAGAACACACTGGCGCATCAAGGACCCCAACCATTCAGACACTCATTACAATCCTACCTATTGCACAGGTTTTTAGTGGTAGGGAATTCGGAGCACACGGAGTAAACCTACATAGGCACGGGGAGAATATGCAAACGTCACACAGAAAGGCCCGGAAGTGGAATCGAACCGCTGCACCACCTTGCTCCCCACTTACTTAGATTTCATACAACCTCAGTAAGTGCTTGTATAGAAAACCAATACCAGTCAAGTAGCTGACTATATAAACACAGTGACTTTGAATGGTTTTATACACTGCACAAAAGAGGAGCACACCTGATCGGGCCCCGCTGCTCTCTGATTGGCAAAGTGAGCGTTCTGGGGCTCCTAATTGGTCCCTCGTTTGTGCAAAGTGACTGAAGTGTGAAGACAAATGAATCAAAATGCTCCAAATCTTTGGGAGTTGAGGTGAGACAGTGCAACAGTGTTTGCTTTGTCAATCTGTGGAGCACGGGTTACATCACAGTGGCACATGGGAAATGGCACGTGTTCATTTGAGGCTATTTGACATATTACCATCCCAGCTACCAGTAAAATTAGTTAGATTATTGCCAGGCTTATATTCCTTTAACATTTTTATTTTATTTCTTGGGAAGTAGTTTCAGTTTCCATCCGTGGAAAAAAGACATGAAAGTAATTTGGAATCAAAGGAACCTGTCTCTGCTTGATGAGATTCTGATTGTGAGATTAAAATCCTGCCTTGTTCGTGAGGATCAAAGCATGTTTAATTTTAGCAATATTAATGTAATAATGTGATAGTGCTATGTCAGACCTCCTGGTATTTTCTCTGAGGCTTGGAGTGGTGATTCCATCTGGCCTGCTTTGCACCAACTGTTTGCCTTTTATCAATCACCGGAGCAGGCCATTAAAGGCCACACCGCTGCAGTGGTCCCAGCCATGTGAGCTCCTTCATCTGAGTGTGAGAGTGTGATTGTGCAGACTGATCTCCCCTCTCAGATTGTGGCGCGCAGTGGTGGCCACACAAACTCAAGAGACTGAAAGACAAATTAACCTGCAGGATTCCGAGGAAAGCAGCAGAAGACGTGTGGTCTGCTATCAAAAGGGCAAACTGATAAACAGGGAGGCAGCTGTGTCTCTGATGGGAAGATGAGACGGAAGAAGAAGTCACCTGGCCACTATCGCCTCACGCTAGATCCTCCTTGTTTGGCAGCTGGACAACATGCTTGACACAGTGTAATTTTTGCGCAGGGAAAAAGTAAGTTGTAGTAAGAAAGTAGTGTTAATTTTAAAGCACATTTTACAAAGCAAGGTCACCCAAAGCGCTTTACAATGTTCAGAGTTCAGATATGGTTCCATTCTGAGGTTTTCGTGGTCACAGTGGCTCAGTGGGTAGAGCATGCATTGGCCAACTGGTTGCCTCGCTTCTGTCAGTGTGGCCCAGGGAAGCAGTGGCTACAACAGTAGTTTATCCCCATCACGTGTGGAGTGAAAGAATGAATACATGTGAAGCCTCTTTGATTGTCCAAAAAAGCGCTATATAAAAACTGATGCATTATTATTCTCACACGGTGATGACGAGACCTAAGTCCAGTCCTTAGGTCCCTGCACTGACTTCCTGTGGCTCAGAGAATAGACTTCAAAGCAGCTCTGCTTGTGTTCAAGTCTCTCCATGGCCTTGCACCAGGGTACATCCGTGACATGCAAGTGCCATATGCACCCGCTCGGACTCCCATACTTTTAAACTGCTTTATCTTAATATTCAAATAATTGTATATTTATTGACTTTTGAATGCATTTATGATCTGTGTTTTTTGATTTTTCTTGTGAAGCACTTTGAATTGCCTTGTACACGAATTGGGCTACACAAATAAATGACTGATTCAAATGATTGATTGAGATGCCAAACAGACTGGCGCATCAAAGCCCCCAATCAACACCACCAACATTAACACACTCATTACATAATGTACTTGTTTTAGTGGTAGGGGAAACCGGAGCAGCTGGAGGAAACCTACACAGACAAGGGGAACACTGAAATTCCACACAGAAAGGCCTGGAGGTGGAGTCAAACCCAGGAGCTTCTTGCTGGGGAACACAAGCTCTAACCGTTGCTCCACCTTGCAACCCAAAAAAAACCCAAAACACTATCATATCTGCATTTGCGCTTTATCTCATTGACTAGGCCGGGGTGTGGCGTGCGTCGGCATCAAGCCAAGAGGCCTCTGATGGGTAATTGATATGCTATTGGGGCTGTTTTCGCTCAGGGGGCCATCCATTATGGCTTGGTGCATCTCCCCGTGGCGGCTGTGATAGACTGCTACGACATGTACGGGAGATCAGCGCTGGAGGTGAGGCGTGGAGGGCGGGGGAAGTCATTGCACAATGGGGAGTGATTGAAGCGTGACATGGAGGTAATGGTGTTTTCACAGACATGCCGCTGATATCGCCATCATACCCATTTTAAGGCGGCCCTGACAAACATCCATTTTGGTCGAGTCCTAGTATGGCTGGAGGTAGACAGTGGCTTATTGAAACCATGCTTTTGCTCAGAACAATGTCACGACCAGTGCTCTGACAGCCACCTGAGCGATACGCTGTGTGGACAAACCCACCACCCAATGACCTTAGTTTTGCAAATGAGTTTTAGTGAGCTTTCTTATTATAAGCTATAAAGATATATTTGAATGTGTAACTTCATTTTGGTCCATCAGCTAAAGCTTATAAATATATATATATTTTTTCTTTCGATACCATATAACTAGTTCCTATCTCTCTCAAAACAGTATCATTATTTTTTGCATGCTTATATATTTTTATGTATTTGAAAGCTTCATATATATTTTTACTATGATAACTTGTCAGCACTTTGAGTACATTCATCCACTTTCTTCCACTTTTCGGGATTTTTTTTTGGGGGGGGGCAGTCAAAATGTGCTCAATTTAAAAGTCATTTTGCCAAATCTTAGCCATTTTTGACTTTTTTTTTTCACTTCTTGCACTGATTGAACTGTTCCAAGCTCCTGTACAAGCACATCTGTATTAATTAGTTTATTTGAAATTGAGTCAAGAGTTGAGTCAAAGCCAAACACTGGCTCGAGGTCAAAGTATCATTCCTGATCATGACTGAAACATTTCAAATCCTCAAGGCTCCACATACATCAACGAAAGTTTGATCTGCGGAGCCATTAAGAGGACGAATCAAAGAGCGAGCAGGAGAACATTATGAGCGCCACTTTCCGCTAGAAGCTCATTCTGCAGACACCAGTCCAAGACGGGCTTCTCACAATTATACTGACTGACACATTCAATTTCATTTGCATGAAAAGGCCCATTTCTCCTCTGAATCTTTAACTTCAGGGTGAGGTGGGGTTGTGGAGGGTGATAATTAATCCCAACTCATGGGTTGGCACTTGGCGAATGCCCTGCTCAGTTATACAAGTGAGAGAAAAGAACATTTACGGATGTCATTAATTTTGTTGGACACGTTACAGCCATAATATTGAGGGATTATGAGGCTGTAATCAACAAAAAGAGGCCAAAAGAAGCTCCTGTATGTGAAAGATGAATGGGCTGAAGTACTCTACATGTATCTGGTATTTGTATTTTGTACTTGTGTTACCTGTCGAGGGACAACAGATGGAAATGAGATTTTCTGCTATGATCCGTGTCATATTTACACTGTAGCTACAGACGTTCATGAATGTGCACTGTCCCCATCAAAAAGAAAAAAAATCCATACTGCAAAAAATATATAGCAAGTAAAATAGGCTAATACATGTTTTAAGTCCTTCTTGTTTTATATTAGTTTATTTTGACTGATTTGTAAGAAAATGCACCAATAGAAAAAAAACGTTTGATAACAATATATTTTTTTCCACATGAAATGGACGGAAAAAATAACACTGTGGGCTGAAAGTTTTTTTACGGGTTTCATGATTTTTTTTTGTGGCATAAAATAAATTGTTTGGTGTTTTCACATCCACATATAAAGACTTCATTGCCCAAGAGACCCAGATCTGGTCATTGCCCAAGAGACCCAGATCTGGTCCAGTGAAAATGTCCCCGTCCAACAAGTGTGAAGTCACCCCAAAAATGTTTAGGACAGACTTTCATAGGAGAACCCACTCCATCACAAAACCTTCAACCCCCCCCCCCCCTAATTGGGGGCACGGTGGCTGAGTGGTTAGCATTCTCGCTTCTCAGCAAGAAGGTCCAGCAAGAAGGTCCTGGGTTCGAATCCCGGTCGGAACAGGAACTTTCTGAGTGGAGTTTGCATGTTCTCCTAGTGTCTGCGTAGGTTTCCTCCGGGTGCTCCGGTCTCCCCTACCACTAAAAACATGCACAATAGGTATGAATGTAAATGAGAGAGTG